GAGGGGATTCGCTGATTTGATCATAATCAAATATTTTTGAATTTTCAATTATTTCTAACATATGTATAATTTATAAGGGTTTTGAAACATTTTACTTATTTATTGTGCAATTTGTTCTATTGCGCAAATCATGTCAAGAGAGCGAAAAAAATGTTTTTGATTTTTAAACATAACGCTCGTATTTAATGTTGGATTTCATAAATTTTAATTTAATTTTTTTCATTATTCACAATATCCAGAAAGGTATAAAAAAAGCTATTTTTTAACAAGTTCCGTTTCAACTAAATCAGCTCACTCGAAATTTTTCGTCAATAATTTCCCAATAATTAATTTATTCTTTCGCAGGTTTGGGCTTACGGGATTGAGCAATAGATTTTTTTTTCGATTCCATGTTAACTTCAAACAAAGAAAAATTGAATAAATAGATTAGGCGATAAGCAGAACAATAATTTATATTTACATTTAGATATCACATTTCAAACTAAATATGCTTTTTGCGTCTCCGTATCCATAGTAAGTTAAATGTTTTTTTATAATCTATTTAGTATACTTGATTTTATAATTAAAAAAATATATAAATAATATATTATAAATTGCATTGCATGCAGGGCAAGACCGGCCCTGTATATATGCATTTTTATATATTGTTATATACATTCATACATATGGCCAAAAAAATTACCAAGGTACATCGTGTTTCTATCGGTCATTTCAAATTTTTTTGCTTTTTAAGCAAATCAGGTTTGCTCGTCATTTCAATTAAAGAACATAACGATAATCGAGAAAGGTCATGTTTGCTCCGATCTTCCTGTGAGCAAAAACTGAAGAATTTAATGTAAGTCCTTCAAATAACTGAAGAACAACCCAAAACCAATAAATAGAAATAATAGAATAGTAAATAGAATAGTCTAAAACATACAAAATTCCAAATAAAACCTTATTTAAACTAGTTGCCATTGTTAATCTGAAAGACTTTAAAGATTATTCACGTTTGTTGGTAGAATTGTAACTTTGATTTTAAGTTTCAATCTTTTATTTTGAGTTTAAATTTTATATTTATTTGAAGTTTATATTTTGGTTTAATTGCCGTTAAAATTATACCTTCATTGTTTCATATTTTTTATTTGATTTATTTATTTACCAACACTTTCAGTATTGATAATGACTGTTACTATAACACCAGTTTTCATTTTACTTTTGTTTTGAAAGTTTTTCAACTTCTTATATTTTTCTGATTTTTATAAAAATAAATTAAATAAATGTTTAAAATTATAGCAAAGTATTATTTTTTAATTAACCATATTTTTTATAACGAATTCAAGTATATTTATCAAGGCAATACGATCAAAACTGTGTGCTCCAAGCGCTATCACGGAATAGCATACAAATACAACAACTCCCGGCATCGTGTCATGAGCCGAATTTTATCCCGGAATTAGGGACAAACTCGTGGTTCAGCAAAATGCCTAATATTTCTATAAATGAAATTCTACGCCAAAAATTTTGGTTTATAATGATCTTATAAGTCTAATTTATAGAATAGAACTTTCCTACTTTTTTTACAAATCATCTTTAAAGTCAAACGTTCCTCAACATCCCGTAACATGGTACATTTACCTTGAATAATATTTCTAAAAAAGACATAACATACTTTTTATGAGAAATTTTAGATAGTTATTAGCAACTTAACTGATACTTTCAATTGTAATATTTATAGGATACCTACTTAAGAATCCAATGACACAAACAATTATTATAAAATTGATTAGTCTCTAATTAACACTTTTTATAGAAAAAATAATGAGCATCATTTTAATTCAATTCAACATTATTATCAAAATGTACAAAAATCATATCAAGAAAATTTCTCAAAACATGCTAATACTATATATCTTAACTATAGTACAACCGAGTAATTGGAAATAAAATCATCAAATAAAACGATATATTTATATTTCACATTATTATAATAAAATATTATATATTATATATATTTTTACAATTGATATAGAAAACAGAAAATGATTTTAATATTCAACATCTTATGTTATTATATATATATATGAATTAAGGTAAGTGCCATAATTTACTATTCATACATACAGCCCAGCAACAAGTTTTACATTCAGTCATACATCAGACTTTCAGGTAATATAATTATAAATAATATGCGTTTTTTACTTAAGTACATAATGAAAATAATTAAGAAACAAAATGAATAATATTGGCTTGATTGCGGAGGGATTTTTTTGAACCCATTAATATTAGCAGCAGCTAAAAATGTATAAAAAATATTGATTACTGAATCATCACATATGAGCCTTACAAATGGTAATTGACCTATACAATATATCAATCATTTTAATAATTAGTGATTTGTTTGTAATAACACTTATATTAAATATTGAATGTTTGCAATTGTTTACACTGCATTAATAGAAACATCAAACAGTTTAAGACAATAATAAATAGAACTTATGATAGAGCCCTATTTTATTTACTTCTCATAAGAAATTAAAATTATGTCACAACCGTAACGTAATCTTAACTTTTAGAAGCGAATTATTGTGTTACATTCACATGGATTTATTGAAAGAGTGCACTGAAAGCAAATGATTTAATTATGTATGAGTTTATGTTCGTTATTGAATGTGCTTCATTATCCATACATCTTCAAACATTTAAACATTGTTTACGCATAATACAATATAATGAAAAATCTAGCGAATCTAGAGGCACATATTTTACACCTGTTAAAATAGATGAATAAAAATGAGAACATAATAATACCTTTCAGAAAAGGTAGTAAAAGTAACGTGAGACACAATATGCTCTCTTATTATGCAGGTTTATACAAAGAATATATTCTTTATAGACACACACACATAAACATGTATATGTATATATATATATATATATATATATATATATATATATACATACTTCTATGATTTCAACAATTCAATACATTTTTTATAAAGAAATTTCTTAGCTATCGATAATGGACTTCAGCAACAAAGATTATCAACATATAAAATTAATAAATAAACTTTTTTGTAACCACATTCTAATTTTTATGCATTGCATAATAGTTTATTAATATGGTACAATCAAAGTGATTTTTGGGATACTGGTTACACAGGCTTATGTCTGCATAATATAAGTTTCACTTTTATGTAATAATTGAATCAATCCAAACATCAATACTTTTGTGATAAAATTCACTACAGTTGTGAACTAATTAGCCTCATAGTCAATAGATATTGCAATTTATTTATGATTTAGTTGATTCATTTCAATCATGATTAATAAATTATGCAAAATATCCTAATCCAATCACTTTGACTATAACATTCTAGGATGATCAATAATTTTCAATTTTATTTTATTGAAAATAACACGACAATTTTATATAATAGTGATTATTTCAAGCTGTTTTCAAAAGCTCAAAAATATGCTCTAATTTACTTCACTGTTACAAAATTATATTAAATAAATTAATTCATATAAATAATATGAAATGGTACTGTAAATGATACTATTAATGACCAATTGAATTTTGATACTAATAAAATGTACCAAAATAACAAAATACATACTTGTAGATATAGTTTAACTATGGCTAAAGTAATTTTCTCATTCGTAACTTTTTATGAATATTGTCTTAATGATTTGGTTTTTGAGGTTTATATGTAATTGAATACTTCCTATAAATAAGAATATTTAAATATAATATTTGTTTGCTATAATTCAGAATACCTAGCTAATAGAGCCACAATAGTTCCCCACATTCACTCATTAATATTTTTTATGAATACATGTAACAAAATGCAGTTTACATGAGATTGTTTGAGAATGAAACTAAACTTGTTCTAAACAACCAATAATCAAATTAATATAAAAAATATAAAATATATAACAAAAAAAATTTAAAACATGTAAATTATAATAAGCACATTGAAATAGGAAGACAGAAGTACTTACACCATGTGTAAGTAAAAAGCAATATATATCAAAAGGTTACGATAGTGCCGTTGATCATTGAACGTACTAACATTATTGAAATTTTCTTATATTAGAATTTAAAACCATAATCTATACAAGCTTAGATATTTTCTATATAATTAACCGCAATAGTCTTTAATCATACATAAATGTTTTAGGATAACTGTTGCTATTATAGGTAAATAGGTTCCAAGAGTTAGTGCATATCGTAGAGAATCCTATCAAACATGGAGAATGTTAAAATGATCAAAATATATAATATTTATGAAAATTTACAATTCAAAATTATATTTTTTAAAATTAAATATTTTCATTTAAGTTTTTCAGCATATGTATCTATTATAAATAAATAAACAATTGGAAATAATCATTAATTAGAAAAATAAAAGCATTTTGAAACACAATGTTTCAAATTATATAACAAAACAATACACTATTTTAAATCGAGCTAATTTTTGGCATAAGAAAGAAAAATTTATTATTTCATTTTAGAAAGCATCTTCATTTATTAACATTAGCACCGTTTAGTATGACATAAAAATTTGCATTCAAAGTTACTTTAAAGAAGGATCTCTTACATCTTTAAAGATTACAAAAAGAAAAATCCTTTGCAAAGTATTAAAAGCCAATATCTAGTTTACACATATCTAACAGCAAGTCAGCATAAAACAATTAAGTAATCATAAAGAAGTTGTTATAATGAAAATGCCATATAAAGTGAAAAATATTTGTTTAGACCTAATTCCATAATAAAAACAATTCCATTTTTTTACAAAAATGCCAACCGTTGATATCTACACTGAAAATCCGAATCAAGCTTAAAGCTTTACTCCATTTCTGAATAATCTAAAATATATACCAACTCTCCTGATATAATGACAGGTACGCGCAATAGCCACTCACTAAATAATCTCTATATACGGCTATCTACATGTAATAAAATATAATTTATAAACACATGGGGAGTGGGTGATTGGATTAACTATAAAATCAGTCTATTGATATTCATCATCTGAGCTTAAGAGCATAGTCTTTTCATTATAATTGTTGCTGATAGTCGCCACGCGTTGATTGGCCGGTTGTGATTTTTTCTGAACATGCTGTTCTGTATCTGCACCTGGTGTAGGCCCATATCCTGTTGAAACTGGCTCATCAGGGTCATGAGAAGCTACTCGAGAGCCACGTGAATGTTTACCACCTCCTGTTGGGATAAAAATCAGTATTAATTAGATAATTTTTGAAAACAGGTGACATGCTACTGGTTAGGAGTTGAATTTCTACAATAGTAAATAATATTCTGCGTTTTGATTTTAGTTATTTTAAGACAATCCTCAGAAAACCAAAATGAAAAACTAAATACTGTTTCCAGTCATGCTACCAAAAAATTCAAACCGTAACATATTTAAAGTTTTGTCCAGAAATTTGCTGGCATGTGCTGACTATTAGTGTTTACTGAAAATCTAAATGCTTCACCAGATTTGCTTTTTATGCTGTTAAGTTCCATCAAACTTTACCTACAATGAATTGTGCTACCGCTCTGCCAATATATTAAGTGCTGCAAAGAAAACTGCACAACCACCATTATTAAAGTTAATTTGACTATCAAAAATATCAAAGTTTGTTCCAATCTTTTTCAATTAAATGATAAATTATTTTTACAGATAACTTGATTTTGATTGAATTACACAAAACTAATATACTTAGCTCAAGTTGCGATCTGTTTAATTTGCATAACATAAATTACATCAAAATAATATATATTTTATTCAATAATTATCAATTTCAATAAAATATTTAATAACAAAAATTAATAGTAATATTGTATTTAAATCTTGAATTATTTGGAAAACTGCAATGTAAAGAATACAGTAGTTTTTACTATCTAATCAAAAGCAAAATGTCGCAATTATTGTTTCAACAACGTTTTGCATACAAAATTATTACTACATTGTTAATAATATTATGTACTAAATCAGACATGGCATTTAAAAAGTATATACTACACTACTAAAATGCATGCCAAGTTGTGTTTCTTGTTTAAAATGTTCTTTCCAAAACTCTGAAATTTAACAAAATATTTAGGAAGAAATGATGCCAAATAAGCATTTACAATTCTGCAATTTTTGTATAAGTTACATCTAGCATGAACCATAAAGAAATTGTCATCACGATAGCATTTCAAGAAAAAATAACTGGAAGCATTGCATTCTCTTACAACTAAAGTGATTCATGCAATTTGTAATGCACAAAGAGTAAAAATGATTTTACATGCATATATATATATATATATATATATATATATATATATATATAAATAAATAAATATATATATATATATATATATATATGTATATATACTATTTAACATGTTTTAAGTATAATAAAAGGCTAAAGCGTTTCAAAAAGCTTACCTCAGACAGAAATAATACAGGTTTTTCCATTTCCATAATAAAACATGCTCTCTACCTAAAAAGTCTAGATATTATATCAAAATCAAAGGTATAATACATAGTACAAACTCAAGTAAAATAGTTTATCAAAAAAGTTCATTTATTAGTTTGTAAAGAACAGAATATAAAAATTAAAAAATATGACTAATAGTTATATTATTAAAGAAAACGAAAGTATAACAATCATAAATTAGATTTGTTCGAATGGAGTCATTTCAATAAAAATATGGTACAAATTTTGTAAACAAGAATCAAATTCTCAAAGCCTAATAATCACATCAGAGATAGTTGTAAGTACGATAAATTCTAATTCTAACCTATAATTAATATTCTATCCAACAAAAGGTTTTGTTCGAAGTAATTGATCATACATATTTAAAAATATAGTGCGGCAATTATACAATTAACTAGTAAACCATATACATTTTCAATCATACTAAATTTTTACATGAATTTTCAATACTTAATGCAGTGCTTATAAAAGTTTATTTTAATATTATTCATTGCATCGTATATTTGTCATAAATTTATCTTCGGCAAATCATTCACATGTGGCAAGTTTTGGCCCTCGTGAATATATATGAACTGTAGAATTATAATCCAACAATTTTCATTAATTTCACTGAAATGAATGATAAGAATATTGTTCACAATAATAATCAAGCTAATGTATTTAAGTTAAAACTTGAAATTCTTATCATACAAACAAAAAGTATAAGCACAATATTAAGTACTCAATAATTCACACATTTTTTCCACACAAGGCACTAATTGTAAATGTAATGCTTTTTATAAGATCAATCCAAGAATAAAATATACAATAATACATTTTTTCAAATTATGTAAATGCTTGAAAATTCTCTTAATTAGCCAAAGCATTTTATAATACAAAAGTAAAACTAGTCATAAGATGTATTCTTGCATTTAAATTGAACAAAATTTAATACACCTATAATCTACAGATAAATTGTCAATTAACTAACTTAAAATTAATTTAAAATAATCTAAACTTTAAAATACTTACCTGTTAATGGCTAATTGTGCCAAAAACAAATATTTTAAAAAGCTATAAATATAAGCACCCATAATAATCCACGTGAAATTCTACATGGAGTTTATATCAAAATAAAGTCATTTACATTGTGTCATTCATAATTATCACTGCATATTTGTTAAATTGCTTATTAATTTTGATTGTGAACCTTTTTCTCATGCATCAGATAAACTAAAATGAGGTTGTTACAAGAGTTGATTATTGGATAATGTGAGCTAGCTATTTGAGAAGCTAGAGTTATGTGAAGCAGGCACTTAGTGGCAGGTCCAATAGTAACACCCATACAAATTCATTTGAGACTTTCAAAGCTTCTCGTACGGACGATTAGAAGTCACTTCTGTAATGAACAAATATCACATATGCAGTCGAGCCCTTTGGAAAAACTTCCACTTTCTACGCATAAACGCATGGTGTCCTTGTTTGTGCAGTTCTCATTTTTAATATTGTCCTCAATGTTTTTAGTTGGGAATTGGAATACATGTGTCTTTACATATTTATAGTGCAGCATTGTTTAATGAACTAAATGATGATTTGTGAATGGAGTCAATTAATTCATTCAAAATTTAAAAACTAATAATACTGATGCATAATTATTCCAATCAAATATGGGCAAAATAATCAATAGCAAATGAAATTAATTGAAATAGCATAAAAATATAAGAAGATGGAGAAAACAAACATTGCATAAATACCAACAATATAAATGCAACATTTATATTTGTGTAATTAATATAAAATTGGTCTTAATCTTTCTTTTAACTGCCCACAAATGACAATTTATACCAAATTCAAAAACATGTAATTTTCACAACATACTTTATAATACATATATAATTTCAAAAAGATTATTTAAAAAAAAAGTATGGCAATCATCCAAAACTATGATCAATTGACAACAAATCACGAAATAATAAGAATGGAGTAATACAAGCTTGATTTTTGGTACTGCTATAATAATTGAGAACATCAACAATAATAAAGTGCACCATGCTACATGCCATTGTAGTAAATTAGTAAAACTTACCAGAACTGTACTGGGTGTACTGCTGGTACTGTGGGTGGAAATTGTGAATGGCATCTGTCATTATGTCTTTAGGATTCATTGTTTCCTGTAAAGTAAGAGTAGAAATGAATAAAAGGATAATATTCAGAAAACATTTATATATAAATTATTTGTAAAACATACGTTTGAAAATTTTATATTGTAAATGAGTTTACTATCTGATACCTTTACATAAGTATTGTTAGGCTAATGTAAAAAAAGTATTTAAAATAAATACTATAATTTATCTATTTCTATTGAAAAAAAAATGAATTGATATAAATAATGATACGTTTTACAACTGATGTGCTTTGAATACTAGTATTTCACAATTTAATAAATATAATTTTTTATTATTAAAAATTTAATAGATATTTATGATTATTATATAAATAAGATAAAATCTCTAAAACAAATATACAACTTACACAAAATTTCCAATATGTGTATAAATAACCAGGCTTAATAAACAAAAATTCAGTTTTGAAATTTTGATGTGGCCCATTATTCTCAATCTTAATACATTTTTATAATTAAAATCACTTTTCCTGGGCCCATAATATATATATATATATATATATATATATATATATATATATATATCGTCAAAAAAAAAATAATGACGAAGAAACGGCCAAACTTATGTTTACCGGAAACATATTCAGCACTTGAATTGCAATTGATATCTTTCAAACATTTTTTGATATTTTAAAATTGATTCGGAATTTTTGATTAAACCGTAGACCAAAAATTTTACACTTTTCTCGACAGATCTTCGTGGTAAACTAATAAAGGCGAATTCCTATGGAATTACCTTACATAGATTTTAAATTTTTAAAGAAGCCGTTTTTGAGAAAACGTCGACTAGAAGTCAAATTTTGGCTCAAATACACACGAACACGCGCACATACACACATACTTCGATCCAGAAATTTTAATAATTATTTCAATTAAAAACAAATGCCATTACTAACCTTTAGGCTGCTACTGATTGACTGCATAGTGACAGACCTGCCGTGCGTATCTGTAATACAACCCTGTGCATAAATCTGGTAAGGGAAGGCATAACGTAACGCTACGGCTGCGAAGAACATCTCAATACAGATCAGGAAATTCTGATATCCAGCCGACACTGTACCTGCTGATGTCGGGTAACCAGAATCATCTACGATTGGTGAGATGATTGCAGCTTTCTCCAATACGGCCAATGCTACGCCTAAATTTATTTACACATTATTAATAGCTCAAAAACAATATTGTTAATAGATTCACAATCTGTAAACTGATTATCGAATTGAATCTTTAATGTATTTCATATTTAGATATATATTTTTAAACACAATATTTGCAATAGATTTTTTAATTAACAAATTGAAAAAACTTTTGGCTCAAAGTATGTTTTAGAGAACATATTATGGAAATCCAAAGGCAAATTACATGAAATAATAACTTTTACTATAATCAGAGAATAAGATATTAAACCGTATCAGAAAAACAAAGTCTGTTATGGTCATTTAAACCAAACTAATTCAATATACTGTACTTCTATTCAAATAAACTGTTTATTTTAGTTGTTATATTTACATGAAATTCCAAATCATGTCGCGGTCTTATCATTGTAATAAAAAAATTTTTACAAAAAATCTTATAGCATCGAAAATATTTACTAGCATAGAGGTGACATTGTCAATTTCAAATTCTAATTCAAATTTACATCTTCCAATTAGTATAACTCAAATTTTATATATTTTGTATGAAATGTATTTTCAAAAATTATATATATGCTAACAAAAATAAAATGAATGAATGATAATTGAGCGTGATAACGGTGTTAGAAGTAACTTCTTATCAATGAATATCAATAATTGATTTTCTAAACAGCTGATGACGCATGAAATACAGAAACAGAAAACATAGTAACATAGAAAAACCAATTAAGCATTTCATTCAAGAATAGTTTATATATTATGTATTTTGATTACTTAACGCTTCGATCAAACAAAAAAAATATATATTAAAGCAGAATTATTATATTAGTAAGTATACTCTATCAAAAATACTATAACCTTAAATACTTCATAATGAACTAAATAAGCCAAATTAAACAATCACACGTGGTAATAATATGCGTTAAAGAACACCATATTATCATTTGTTTTATTGTGTATCTCATCACGTGAGCGCGATAATAAAGCTAAATAACAAAGATTGTTAATATTGAAATAAACGTAGTTAGTAAAGTAGTGCAAAAGTACTTATAAACAAAACTATATAAACAGATAATGATTTATAAATATGCACGAATAGAATATTATTGCTATATTTGCAGACAAAGCGAAAAAACATATGATATGACAAACCTTGCCAGAATGATAAGAAAATCACAGATTTCACCGTGCAGAATTTCAAAACTGGTTCGAAAGGCGTCAGAAGATCCCTTGTAGCGAAATAAAACAAAAACAGACCATACAATGCAAGACTGACCGAGATATTGTATATGATCGTGATGTAGATATAACCACCGTCAGCACTGAAATATTAATTGACATTATGCATAATATAAGTGATTAAAATAATATTGTATTGAGTATATTTTGTGTATGCACTATCAAAGTGTATTTTTATTAAAATATTCTGCATTCTGAACCATGAACAGCAGTCTATAATTTTGCACATAAAAGATTCAAATCACATCTCCAGAATTGCATTAGATCTGTTTCAATATAATCAAATTTATATGTATATACAATATACACCTATCCTTAGGTCTTATCCGGTTATTTAAAATATTTTTTTCAAAAATCCTAAACTACAATTTCTTTATATCTACAATAACTTTTTCATTATTTTACTGTCAAAATACAACATTAAGAATTATATGTTACAATTACAAATTTTTAGTAGTCTATGTCTATGATAAAAATATGTAGATAACATGGGAACATCCCGTTATATGATCAAAACTAATTTTTATGTGTGTATAACCTAGTTCGTTTGAAATACCAAAGCAAAGATCATCAATATTTTTAAACTTTGTTTTTAATTAGTGTTTATACATAATTGATAACGTAAATTTATTCAAGGTGAGCAAATAACAGAATTATTTTTTATTATTGCAGTAAATTAAAATTATTATAATTTATTAAATGTGTTTGATATTAAAATATTAATATTTATTTTTCGTTTGTTATATACCATATTAAAAACTGACAAAAAGGGCTTTTTCATAGTGTTTTTAATTAACACAGTTTTTCCATATAAGAGCGAATTTTTCGAGTTACACGTTTTTTATGGCATCTATCTTCCGTGCAAAGCGGGGATAGATGTAATATTAAATTTTACGTAGATATATATATATATATATATATATATATATATATATTAGGGTGGTCCTTAAAATGGTCATTTTCGAATTTCCTTGCTCCCAGGGGCTCAAATGGTTCCAAATTCATAAAAAACAATTCTCTGAAAGATTTAGCTCTTAATATTAACGTTTAGATAAAGCGCAATTCAATCAAAGTTTGTATGGAAAGAGCATGGAAAAAATTTTGAAATTAAAAAAAAAATGTTTTATGTATAACTTAGCGACAAATGAATGAGTTTTATTCATTCATTTGTTCGCTAAATTACATCTAAAAAACATTTTTAAAATTTTTGGAAAATTTTCCATGCTATTTTCATACAAAACTTTGATTGAATTGCGCTCTATCTAAACGTTAATATTAAGAGCTAAAACTTTCAGAGAATTATTTTTTATCTATTTGGAACCATTTGAGCCCCTGGGAGCAAGGACATTCGAAAATGACCATTTTAAGGACCACCCTAATATATATATATATATATATATATATATATATATATATATATATATATATCAATTAATCGATTGATATATCTACACTTGTATCTAATTTTTTATTTATGTGCAATGTATAAATTTATGAAATGATTTAATTAACTCACCTCCAATCACCATCGTGATAATGTCCAAATGCCTGCAGAAATATAATGACAAAGGCCATAACCGGCTTCACTAAACAGAACTGTAAAGTGGCCTGTTTGCAGAATCGCAGAAATCCTATGGTGTAATTTTTCCCAACCAGACAGCATGTCCCATAAAGACAATTCGACCTGATCGGTTTTCCTCGGATTTCGCTCATTATGTTTCCTTCGCCTCCCAAATATTCGTAGCACAAGCTCAAGAAATTGTATATCACGAAAGCTGTGGAATATATTATATTTATCGTAGTTATATAAAAAATATTTATTGTAATAAATATGTATGTCAAATCATTTGGATAAAAGATAATAATTTATTTAGACAATTATCGACGTTTTTTAAATTTATTTCTTATAACCAATCTGAACCTTGGGTTCAATGAGGTTATTTGCTGATGGGTACAGAGCTGTATCGACATTGAAATGAAATCAAGTAGAAATTTTGTTTGTTTCTATTTCACGTTATTGCTATCGGTTCATATTATTTGTATATGAAATTTACTACTTAAATAAATCAACCCTCTGTTAACACAGCAAGTGTGTACCGTGTAGTATGTGGACCGTGCTATAAAAAAATACGAATTTAATGTACAATCCAGACGAATTCGTAGTGCGTTCTATGGAAACTTGCTATCATGCTGTATGGAAACTGTGCTATGGCGTTATATGAAGACCAATAACACAGTATAAATTATAAGTTGTTTTTATTGAAATGAAAAATTCATATAAGGATATGATAAAATATATATAACATATTTTCATTTAATTGTAGAGTTCATAAAAAATATATGTTCATAATAACGCGCCCATTATTAACAATTTTATGTTTAAAAAGTAAAGTCAAATCTTGTTATTCAAAGTAATAATGCCGTGAGTTACATACTTAAGCGTGCCTTATTACTTATTGAATATTATTTCTCTCAATATTGTTTGCAATACTCATTTTCCGACACATACATATATGTGTATACTTGCATTCAGTAAAGTATATTTACACATGTTACAAATTATACATATCTAAAAATAAGCCATAATATATCCATTCCCAACATATAATTTCAAAGAATAGCTTTTAACTAAAAATCTAGTTTGCAGCTTTCGATACGTTACCGATAAATATGTACTAATTAACAACTGCTAGTAATTTTTCGGTCTAGCGAAACAAAAGTAAAGAATTGCATTTTTTCACGCGACTACAAAATTCCATAATAAAAATGTGTTTTTCATCAAAAGTGAAATTTCCACAGCAAGTAATAAAAATAACATTTCTAAAATGCAAAAAGATGTTGTAATGCTATATTTATGCGTAAAGCGGCAAAAAAATCGAATACAAACCTTCATAGCAATCCCTGACTGTGAAGAAGTACACGTAATAGCTTTCGCTGTTAAAAAACAGCAAACTGATCCACGAATAAGTCGCGTATATGGGAACAATGAACAATATTCGCACGATCCATCGTTGTTCGGCTGGATTAGTGTACCAGCGCAGGTGATGATATATCTGCAAACAATAAGACAATTGCAAAAATTTAGTATTAACAAAACTCCACACTTAGCATAAAAAGAGGGCCTTGATCCGAAAGTGGAATGTTTTTAGCGAAATTTTTGATCATTGCGCACGTGTGCCACTCACTATGGTCAAGCACCAATAATTTTATAAGCTAACAAAATAAATTCGTCTATATATTTGAATTACAAATATTATAATTCAAAATATGAGAATTTTTGTTGTCTGAAAAAATTATTGCTACAATGCAAATACATGAGATTTCAAAAAATGCATTTCTCGTCAATTCAATATTAAAGCTAAAGATAAGATGAAAAATTATTGTAAAAAAATATATTGTTCATTTTCCAACAAATAACTAGAAGTTAATGTTTTATTTTACTTATATATATATATATATATAATATTAGGGTGGTCCTTAAAAGGGTCATTTTCGAATTTTCTTGCTCCCAGGAGCTCAAATGGTTCCAAATAGATAAAAAACAATTCTCTGAAAGTTTTAGCTCTTAATATTAACGTTTAGATAGAGCGCAATTCAATCAAAATTTGTATGGAAATAGCATGGAAAAATTTTCAAAAATTTTAAAAATGTTTTTTAAATGTAATTTAGCGAACAAATAATGAATAAAACTCATTCATTTGTCGCTAAGTTATACCTAACACATTTTTTTTTAATTTCAAAATTTTTCCATGCTCTTTCCATACAAACTTTGATTGAATTGCGCTCTATCTAAACGTTAATATTAAGAGCTAAAACTTTCAGAGAATTGTTTTTTATCAATTTGGAACCATTTGAGCCCCTGGGAGCAAGGAAATTCGAAAATGACCATTTTAAGGACCACCCTAATATATATATATATATATTGCAGAGTTTCGAACAAGAATCCAAAAGTAACAAAAAAGTGCTAAGATATATTCATACATACAGGTAATTAATTCAATTTTGTCATTAACCTTTTCTAAAAATTTTCTATAACTTTTAAAAATGTTATCATTTTTAATATCCTGTTAGATAATCCACTTATTTATTTTTATCATTTTCATTTTGATCATATTATCACATTTCTGTACATTATTAGTTTTTCAATTAATTTATTATTTAAGAAAAATCCATTTTCTTTTCTTAAACATATTGTTTGCTGAAATCTCATCAAGATCATGTTTCTTGACAGATGTCCTGAAGATGGAACGTACCTAGTTCCGAAACGTCGACAGTAAATAAATAAATAAATAAAGAAATTGTTTATTAAAAACATTTCTTGTTTTTTATTACTTTTGGATTCTTGTTCGAAACTCTGCAAAATATACACAAATCCAAGATTCTACCATTTAATACATATGCATACGAGGTCTGTTCAAAAAGTACCCGGAATTTTCGTTTTTTCAAAAAATATTTATTTATTCGTCTACATTAATGTGGTCCCCTTCAAAGTAGTCCCCCCCAGATATAATACACTTATGCCAGCGTTTTTTCCAATTTTCGAAGCACCCTTGATATTCACTTTTTGATATGTCCTTGAGCACTCTCAGCGATTTTCTTCAATCGAGGAAAACCGCCGTCCTTTCATGGGTCTCTTCAACTTTGGGAATAGGAAAAAGTCACACGGAGCCATATCTGGTGAATTTTTGCACTTTGCAACACTTTATTTAATTTTTTACGCAAAATTTAATACAAATTCTTTGACTTTTCAATTCTTCCATTGTAAAAATCGCCGAGCTCAGAAAAGCACGTCGAACCTTAGCGACTACCACAGACAAAGTAAACAGTGAATATAGCTGAAAATTTCATCATACTTTAGGGGCATGTATACCAACACAATAAGAAAAAAATTTGACAATCAGACACTCCAGACCCGCGAAATTTAATTATTAGTAATTCCGGGTACTTTTTGAACACACCTCGTATATATATATATATATATATATATATAAATATATATATTTATATATATATATATATATATATATATATATATTTGTGCGTGTGTGTTTTTTGTGTGTACAATGTGTTTTTATAAAAGCATCATATGTTGACACATTCTTTTTCATGCATACACAAACAACTAAAAAACAATATTGGAAATTAAAAGATGGTTTCTAAGTAATTAATAAATTTCATATTCCAATAGTATTTCAATGTCAGTTCAATCAATAAGCATAGTTTCCAACGCTAAAATTGAACCTTGAAATGAGTTCATAGGGAACCGCTACCGTTGATAATAGTTCGGTGTCAAGTCAATGACCACACTCAGGTAAATAAAAACGGTCGCGTATTATTACGCACCGGAGACAAAGCATATTGATAAAATTATCAAATGCAATAAATTACAGACCTATAAAATGTCTATACACATTAGCTGATAATAAATTTTGCATTAATTTCATAGTTAGCAATACAATGACCTTTTAACATTCGCGATAATGCACGGCCCAGCACTAACATCAAAAGCAATATTTTAGGTATTTATAATAAGTGTGTATGATTACTATCTAACATAGCAATTGCTAGATGCCGAAAAACACTATTAAATACTTTAGAAAACGGGGGATACATCACGCAAGTGGTTAAAAACCTCAACCTCGTACCCACAAGGTTTTCAGGTTCAAATCCCAATCTACAGTCAAGTAGCAGATATCAGATACCAGTATCAGATATGTTTTCAAGTACAAAAAGAACTCTGCTGCGGAAATATGTATGTAAAACATTGATTAGACATAAAAATCACGTTCATAAAATTTCAACAAAAAATATTTCAAATATTTCTGTATAATAGAATTTTGAAGTCAAAGTACACGTATTTTCATTTTGTAATAGCGATTTGTAATAATACAGCTTTGGGGTTGATTTCAACAAAATATATACATACATATAAAAATAAAGAAGAAAACATTTTTTCGATTTTCTGACAAAGTACGTAACCAATAAATTTGATTAGCACTTAAATATTCAAAATTTTATAAATTCCTAGGAAAATTGTCTTATTGTTAATAAATAGATCAAACTACTTTGAGATATTATTTAAAATATACTTACGCAAAATGTGTATTTTATAAAGCATATTAGATACGTATTTAGAAATTATAAAGATTTGCTTTATGTTTGTACAATCTAAACTAAAATCGATTCATTGTATAATCATTCTTGTTTAACTCGTTGGTTACCACGAGAAGATACTTGTCCATATCATCATTGTGATTTATCGAATATTTATTATGAAGTCTCGAGAGTCCGAGAGGTCGAATAATGCTAAAGTATCAGAGTATAACGTGTAGAGAGCTCTCCAGCGTTCGTCTTAACGAATATACGGTATAGCTGGATAGATGTATCGTGAGAATTCATCTTTTGCGCAACATTTCACTTTATAAGAGTCGGGTCATATGCTTCAGTGGATAATATGCCTTCATTCCGAACTGCGAAAACCTATTTCATACACGACTGCGGCTTATTTATAAAGTTACCATAAATTTGCACCATACATGAAAGTGCCAAATACACCTAATTCAAAATACTTTATTTTATAGAAACAGGGATAAGTTTCATTTAACCAGTTAACTGTGGCGCTCCCATCGAACAGTGCGCACACTTTTGTGTCGCACTAAATTTTACTTATTTCTTAACATAAGAATATATTACAGAAGTATTAAAATAAAACCGGATTAATTTAATGAAATATTATACATGACATTGTATGAAAACTAAAACTATTTTCAAAATAAACAGTAAAATATGTCAAAAAAAATTGATACGAATTTAGTAATTATCTAGTATTCTCTCGCGGTTAAATAGAGAACTTACCTTCTAATTATGATATGAACCACTCTTGAACTTTTCACAAGAAACTATATTTAATATTATTTTTCTGAGCTGAAAATGCAAATGCAGCATACCCAAAAAAGTGAGAAATACTATTTATCACATCAAAGATATAACGATTGGTTGAAATTTTGAACTAATTTCTGACTTGGTTTAAAATTCAAATTGAAGCATCCTAGTTTGCAAACGTCATTTTTCGCGCAATTATAAATATATTTAATGTAACTAATTGAAAAATTGAGGTTAGTAAGTAAATTCCAATTCGTGCTGTTACGGTAGTTCACTGATCGTAATTATGTAGAACTTTCTTCAACATTAATAAAATATGTAACGTGGAGTACAGCGTTCGGATTTTCGAAGAAATATAGTAAAAGTGCGATAACTAATATTGCTCTTCCTTAATAATTGTATTTCACAAATATTTTAACTTCAGTGTCGTTCAAATTCTCACAATTATCAAAACAATAAAAAGTAATATGTGGTAATTAAGTTTTAATGAAATGTGTAAATTAAATTTGTATATACATATTTAGTAAGCATACTACGTCATGTCATTATTTGTTAATAAACTGTACAAAAATATGAATAGATCAAATCTCAATTTATATTAAATGATACATGCATGAGGAAAGTCGGATGAATTTTCATAAACTACGACTTAAAAAATATTTCTGCTCATAAGACACATGCACATAAGGAATAACGATTCGCAAAACTTGTAAAATTAGAATCTTAGCACACAAATTTATAACATATTGAATTAAACAGACCGTATCAATATATTTTGTATAAGTATACCGAGCATAATTTGTATGTGACATTTTCAGCAAAAACAGTTAGTTATAAAAAAATTCACTACGGCAATGCACATTTGTTAGATTACCTTCGGACAATATACCATTGCTCTTGTTTCAAAAAGGAAAAGTGTTATTTGATCAATTCATAAACTTGATTTCAAACTTCTTATGAACGTGAATTTCGAGCTTTTATAACTAAAAAATTAGTTTTACTCGGACAAGTAAAGCAGCCATAAAAACCCATTTTTCTAAATCTAAGAAATTTCTTAACATAAATGTGAAATTCCATGCGAAAAGCATTTACAGCATTCATATAATGAATTACAGGAATTTTGTTATTAAATAAATAATGAGTTGTTTTACAGATTTGTTTTATTAACCGC